ACCCTGCCATACTTTTAGGGTTTATTCACCATAATGCCATCAATTTCACAATATATCCTAAAATACCATGTTTTCAAACAAAACAAAATTTTTGAATAAGCATGCCCGCCCTTGCAATGGGCGGCAGTGAAGAAAATGAAGGAGAACCGCCCATTCATTGGGCGGTAGAGTGCATTCCTATTTTTTTTTTCGTTTTAATTAATGTATGTAGTTTTAATAATTTAATTTAATTTAATTAATAATAATATATATTATTATAAAAATATTAATATATATAAATATTAATATATATAATTATTAATATATATTATTATAAAAATAGATTAATAATATAAATTTTAATATATGTTAATATTAATAATATTAATATATATTAATATTTATATTAGTAATAATATAAGTATTAATATATATTATTATAAATATATCTTAATATATATTTTTAAATATTAATATGTAATATTATTAATATATATTATTATTAAAATAGATTAATAATATTAATTTTAATATATATTAATATTACTAATATTAATATTTATGTCATTAATAATATAAGTATTAATAATTTTAATAATAATATATATTTATGTTAATATTATTAATATATTTTAAAATTAATATTAATGATATTTATAATATTAATATACATTAATATTAATAATATTAGTATTTATTAGTATATGTATTATGTGACACTATTATTAATATTAATTTAAATTTATATATTGAAGACATAATTTATATTGATTGAAATTATTAACTAATATTAATTAATACATGATGATTAAAAAAAGGACTAACGACTACTTGTTCCCACATTGGGACACCGGGTGCGATTGTGTCCCGTTTGACGACACATGGAACATTTCCTCTCAAGCTTATCAAAGTTATCCATTTCTGTTGTAATACGTGTGCTTACAGGGCGACCTTTCTTGTTCCTCCGCATTCTTGGGTTATGGCAAATTTGATCTCCTTCATAAACAGGCCAATATTCATCGCATGACATCACTGGAAAACTTGCGCTGTAAACCCCAAATAGGTTTGTAACCCTATAAACGTCGGACAAAAGAGTGTAAGCGTCGTGGCGCACATTCGAACATGCAGCGATAACATGTGAGCAAGGGACACGAAATGCTTGAAACTTTCCGCAGTCACACCACCCGTTCAAGAGGTCGACCTTATAATGTCCCATAGGTTTCCCCTCACCATGGTCCATTGTCTCTTGCACACTGAAAACATTGTTCCTGTAGTCAAAAATTCTTACTTGATGCGTGCTGGATTTTGTTGTTTCTTCTTTCATAACCTTGAGGCAGTTGTCTGTAAATGCTTGGCCAGAATTCAACACAGCACTCCACTTTCCACCCCTTTCAGCAAATAAAGATCCTAGTCTATAATACGTTGCCCTTACCAATGCCGTAATGGGCAAATTACGTGTGCCCTTAAAAACGGAATTCATTGACTCGACAAGGTTGGTAGTCATGTGACCCCAACGTCGACCGCCGTCAAATGCCCTTGTCCATTTTTCGGCTGGAATATTGTCAATCCACCTTAAAGCATCTGCATTTGCCATGCTAATCTCTGACCGATAATAATGAAATGTTGGCTGGTTTAAAGCGTATCCTGAATAATTAAAATATCAAATTAAAATATTGACAAAATAATATATGTTATTGACAAAATTTAATGAATATTAAGAAATATAGTTACCCATGTTAATTATTTTTTTCCGTAGGTTCCTGTCCTTGATTTCTCTCATAAAGTTTTGTGCAATGTGTCGGATACAATAAACATGCACTGAAGGGGGATCCTGCCAACCATTTTCCACATTGTTGTATGCACTTTCAATTGAGGCATGTCGGTCTGAAATTAAACATAGATCTGGTTGTGGGGCCACATGCCTCCTTAAGTTTCTCAGAAAAAAACCCCAGGCTTCAGCGGTTTCACCTTCCACAAGGGCAAAAGCAACCGGAAATATGTTGCTGTTCCCATCTTGTGCAACTGCGATAAGCAGTGTACCCTTGTACTTACCGTATAACCAGGTTCCATCAATTTGAAGTATAGGTTTGCAATACGCAAAACCTCTGATGCATGGTTGGAATGCCCAGAATAGCCGGTGGAAGATGTGTTTCCCTTCAACAATAGTTCCGTCAGATGTATGCATGGGTAGTGTTTCTATTTCCAGCACAGTGCCCGGAACATATTTTTTAAGTGCTAACAGAAAATGTGGAAGTTCATTGTACGAGCTTTCCCAGTTACCGTAGACTTGTTCAATTGCCTTATTTCTTGCTATCCATGTCTTTCTGTAAGACGGAGTAAAATGGAATTCGGAAACAATTTTACTTATGCAAACACTAACCTTAATAGAAGGATCTCTGTCTACAAAAGGCATTAATTTTTGAGACATTAACTGCGAGGTTAGTTTTTGATGATCCTGATTGAACAAAGTTGTTGAACAACTATGGGGTGGGTTCATAATGCCTATCTCCCACAACTCACTTCTTTTTCGGTAGGACGCCACGAGACGAAACTTGCAGGAATCATTCCTGCAACAAATTATGTATATCTTCTTGTCGGAATCTATCACTTTGTAATCCACACAGTGTTTCATGTGGTATTGCTTAATGGCAGCGACACAATCAGCTTTATTTTTAAATTGGTAACCGACTTCTATGTCACCTTCCGCGGGAAAACGAGGATTCCGTGGCCAATCAAATGATGTTCCTTCTATGCTTAGTGGCAGGGTTGTCATATGCGCTGGTGGGATGAATACATTTTCAAGTGGAACACATTGATCATCTATGTTGACTTCGATCCCTTCCTCAAACAAGGTAGTATATAAATCATCAACTTGTGCCTCGTTTTCTTCTTCGCCGTCTCCGTCTTCAACATCTTCGTATGGAATTATGGATGGATTGACTACCTGAGAGGTCTGCGTTTCTTGAACTTGTGTAAATGTTATATATAAATCAATGTGTTGAAACCCACAACATTCATGATTCGAGAACATCGTTTCAACATCCTCGTCGTCACGAATCTTCAGTGGAACAAATTTAAAGCGATTGTCGCCGAAACAGACGGCATTTTTGTACGTCATCTGTAACACTGATCCAGCTTGCAACTTCATCTGTACTCTTTCTTTAAAATGTTGGAATGATGATCTTCTATTAACAGCGAAACGAATTACGTCAGTGTTTTCAAATATCAAACCCACTTCATCTGATACAACAACACTTCCATTAAAATGGGCATTAACAATATATTGTTGAGCACTAGACATTATGTAATAGAGGTAGAAGAAAAATATTGTTTGAGTAGACTTATTTGGAATAATAGAGGTAGAAGATAAATATTGGTTGAGTAGACTTATTTGGAGTAATAGAGGTAGAAGATAAATATTGGTTGAGTAGAATTGTTTGGAATTGTTTGAGTAGAATTTGAGATAGTAGAATTGGAGTAATAGAGGTGGAAGATAAATATTGTTTGAGTAGAATTATTTGGAATTGTTTGAGTAGAATTTGAGTAATAGAGGTAGAAGAAAAATATTGTTTGAGTAAAATTATTTGGAATTGTTTAGAATTTGAGATAGTAGAGTTGTAGTAATATAGTAGTGAAAGCCATGCCATGCAGTCACGTGAAATTCAAATAAACCCAGCCGCCCATTGATTAGGCGTTGGTCAAACTCTGTAACACTCATCCGCCCATTCCAAAAACGGATGCCTGATGGGCATTTATTCTGTCTGAAACACAACCGCCCATTCAAGGCACGGGTGTCAGGGAATCTCAAGGACAGCCGCCCATTCCTTATGCGGATGTCAGCGTAAAAGAAACATAGCCGCCCAATCAATTGGCGGTGGTCAAAGTCATTAAGACTCTGCACCCATGCAGCCTACACGTCTATGCATGCAAAACATTAACTCCTATGCATGCAAAAAATTAACTCTAAATTAATTATCATACATATTTTTACACCAACCCTAAATTAATTACCTCCTACATATTTTTACCTATTTATCTCTTACAATTATCATACTCTCCTACAACTTCAAACACAAACATCTCTAACAATTATCATACTCTCCTACAACTTCAAACACAACCATCTCTAACAATTATCATACTCTCCTACAACATCAAACACAAATATCTCTTACAATTATCATACTCTCCTATAACTTCAAACACAAATATTTTTTACAACTACATTCCATTCTCAAAAATGGTTCTACTAACCTTAGGAGATGATCACCGTGGTACCATTGAAAACATTGCAAATTATGTAAGTTAGCTTCTATTTATTTAAACTTAGTTATGTTATATTCTAATAGTTTTGTTATATTCTATTATTGTAACTGTTACTATATTCTATAAACTGTTACTTATGATGTCACTTAATTTTTATTTTGTAGGATGAAAAAAATTTCAAACCACGATCTCATAAGTTTATACAACCTGATGAGGTTATCCTACCGTATTTGATTCAAGCGGGTTTCGGTCACGTCATCAAGATAACATCATACGGGATTGATCGCAAATTTCTTCTCGCGTTGTGCGAAAGATGGCGACCCGAAACCCACACTTTTCATCTTCCCACTGGGGAATGCACAGTGACACTTGAGGATGTCCATATGTTGTTGGGTCTCCGTGTCAATGGCTCAGCGGTTGTGGGTTGCACCAACGTTAACTATGAATTAGTGGAACAATTATTGGGGGTGCCTTTAGAACGAGGTGATAGGAAGGGCCAAAGCCTTAAAATCACTTGGCTAAAAAGAATTTATGGCAACTTGACCATAACCAATGAGTCTCCCGAGGAACAAAAAATTTATAAGACTAGAATTTATTTACTTTTGCTTTTTGGGTGTTTTTTATTTCCGGATACTAATGGTAATACTATACATCTTCAGTATTTACCATTATTAGAAGATTTCAGAGAATTGAGTAATTAAAGTTGGGGCGCCGCTACATTAGCGCATCTATACAGAAATTTGTGTAGATGTGCAATGAAAAATGTGCATAATTTTGCTGGTTGTGGTGTTTTGATTCAAGCCTGGGGATGGTCCAGAATGCCCAGACTGTCACCGATCAACCCCAATCCATTTCACTTTCCATACGCAACCAAGTGAGTATACAAAGTTTGTGTATATATTATTTTCTTCTATAATTTTTACTAACTGTTTCTTTTATAGGTGGTCCGCGTATGGGATGAATTACGAAAAAACACCGCATCATTGTGCTCCTGGGTATCGGACGTTCTTCGATCATTTTGAGGAAGATGATGTATTATTTCTAGTCCCTTATTCTCTTGCTAGCACTTTCCATATTTTTTTCCTCTAATCCCTTTTTAATTATATTATAGTTTCTATGGAGACCCTATCTTGAACTTGAAGACGAGGATCCAACTGAAAGCGATATGTGGAGTTCTACAACATTCATAATTTCTTTCACTATTGTTGAAATGCATCATTCAGATAGGGTGAAACTCCAATTCGGAATTAAACAAGACATTCCTGGTCCACCTACATGCATGGATACGTACCACAAAAGTGTAGCGAGCGACCAATGGAAATTCGATGATTGGAGAGACCATAACAGACAAGAACGACAACAATGGATGGATCGTCGCCGCACTGTTCTACGAGGAAATGTCATGGATGCCGAATGTAAACCAAGTAGAGAATACATGAGTTGGTATAGATCTGTGACCAATTTGTATCTATCACAAAATAGATACTTGTGGGACCCTCGAAACCAACCAACTTCATCAAACTTCCAAAACACCCCCTCCATGACTTATGACACCCAACCACCAATATTTAACACCCCACAACAAATATTTAACACCCCACAACAAATATTTAACACCCCATTCAACCCAAACCCAACACAACCACCTTATACCCCAAGCCAGCACTACAATCAACCTTACACATCATTTAACCCAAACCCCTTCAACATCCAACAACAAAACCCAACCTCATCATACACCCAATATAACCAATTCTCATTCTCTCAACCTACCCAACAAGAACATAACTACCAAACACCCCAAACACAAGTTCCTTTTTACCCTTCACAAAACTTCACCCTTTCTCAAGACCAACATCCATACACACCCTACATGACTAACGCGGCGCCACCTATAAACCCACCAACTTGGAGTAATGAGGGTACGAGATTAAGTTATGGAAGTGCGGCAGCTGACGACGATTTCAATGATGATTTGGTCGCTCAATTCATGAACCCTAACAATGATGCAGGACCATCTACGCAGACCCAAAACGCTGAGGTTGATCGTAGAAGGTCCACCAAAAATGTACAAGCTCCTGCCTATGGAACCCACCAACGCTTACGTCGACCGGGTCGAAATTAGTTAAGGGTCAATAGAAATTGTAATGTACATATTAAATTTCAAAAATTAATAAATATTTATTTTAGTTCTTTTATTGTTATCTATTTTATAAATATTATTATATATTTCTAATTGAGTTATAATTATTACTAATTAATTTAAATTAATTAAAACTAAATACATTATTTCCACATCAATTATTATTATTACTAATTAAATTGAAAATAATTAAAACTAAATATTTTAAAATACATTATTTCTAATTCAATTATTATTGTTAATAATTATTATAGTATAATAATAATAATAATAATTATTGTTATTAATAATAATAATAATTATTATTATTATTATTATTATTATTATTAATTAATATTATTATACTAAATAATAAAAAATTACATAAAACGAAAAAAGAAAAAAAAAAACCATTGCCCTCAACCGCCCATTGAAAGGGCGGGTGTCTTTAAATCACAACATGACCGCCCATTGAAAGGGCGGCAGTGCCTTATCTATGTTTAAAATCATGGCATTTTGGTATATAGTTTGAAGAGTGTGGCATTATGGAATTTTATTTGTAAAAAAGTGGCACAAATGTAAAAAATTCGACCGTCTGCATCTCAAATCGTACAACACCAACAGCCACGACTCGCAAATTTCACGCAAATTGTACCGTCAATAGTCCCATAACCTGCAAAACACAAAAAAGGACAATCGTAGCAGCAATTATCTCGTTTTTTTCCTTCTTCATAAAATCCATCCTTCCAAAATTCTTTAAGAAGAGGAGAACAACAGCAAAACCATTTTTTAATTCCAAAAAGCATAAACGGAGCCACACAAAAAACTGGCTTTTAAAACTCTTTGAGAATTCCATCATCAAGCTTCAATAAACCCGCAACTCTTTCCCTTCATTCAACCCAACAACAATAAACCCAGTCGACTCAATCGCCTCCAAATCACCAAAACTGAGACCCATCTTCCTTTCTTTATCTTTTAACCCTCAGCTGCAAGACACCTCTCCTTCCACCTCCAACAAAACAACCTTCAAAAAAATTCAACAACCCATTTCAAATTACCCAAAAATTTCAGATTCAAAAACCCATACAGAATATCAGAAGGAATATAAAGAGATGAAATAGAAAACCCAGAAAAGAAATGCAAGACTTTCAGAATCCAAAAAAACAAGCTCAAACCTCAAATCTTCTTCTTCGAAAATTCTTCTATGTCTTCAACCTAACAACAACAAGCCCTAGTTCATCAATCCATCAAAAAACCCAAAACTAGAAACAAAAAAAGCACAGAGGAAGAGAGGGATTAAGATCTAATTCGAAACCGTTTGAATCTGAAGCAAGACGATAAAGTGGGAACCGAAATAGGTTTGAGAGCGAAACAGAAAGGTTGGAACATCGATTCACTTGCAGGTGTACTTGTTCTTCTCCCTCAAAACTGTGTTTGTTTTTTAATTCATTGATGATGACCGAATGTATAATTGTATACCCACTGGTTTAAAGCATGAGTGTGTGGCTCTAATAATTTATCTTGTTTAAAATAAAGCAGATGTGATAGTAGGTAAGCATTGATGTCTTTTTTCTTTTGTTTTTAAGCTAGGTTATAAGGAGAGGTGGGAAATATCGGGCTCATTAAGCCCATGGTGTTGTTTCTCTATCACTTTTTTTTTTGCTAAGTTTATTTTTGAGATGATGGCCCTATGAGTCCATATGATTCTCATCCCATCCATATTCAAACTCCCCTTTTCTGATTTTGTGCACCCTTCCTTTTGTTATTCTAAGTTTTAAACTATTATTTTTTTAATATGTTTTCTCTATCAATTTTTATTTCTTTTGCGATTTCCGTTTTCAATTTTATTTTTGGGTCGATGAAGAGACCTCGAAATTTTTTTTTGTCAAATTATTGATGAAAAACGATAAATCCGAGATCAAACTTTCTTTTCATTTTCGATTTTTATCCATTTTTATTCATTTTTATCCTTTGTATTTATTTTTTATTTCATTTTTATCATTTTTGGTCTATGACGAATTTTTACAAGTTGTTATCGGTCAAACTATTGATAGATGACTACTTATTCGAGACTATTTTATTTTCTATTTCATTTTCTTCTTCATTTCCATTTTTATTAGTTTTTTCGATCTATGATGTCTTTTGCTTCGTAAAAACGCCGTTTTATCAAAGTCGATAACCTTCTCGATTTTAAATCTATGGTAAATGACCATTTGGGTCATTTTCTTTACTTTGGGATCTTGATAGGCTACCTTCGATTAATCGACATAATGTTTACAATTAAGACGAGATCCCACCTTTCTTTTGTCTGTGTGACACGATTAAATTAGAGAATGATCCTCAATATCATTTCTCTATCTTGTTTTTAGCACGAATATCAACTTTACGCGACCTCCTATAGTTCAACTTTTAATCATAAGTCGAGCTACGACGGTTTAGTGTTACATTTGTCCCGATTTAATTCATAAAAAACTAACTACTAACTTTAATTTCGGTCAAATATCAATTGCTTTAAATTTCAGTCAAATATTATTGTGGATATTATTGTTATATTATCTTGCTATATTATTCATATTGTTCATACTCATATCATATTCTCATATCTTATTCACCCATATTCGAAAACACGTAATAATTATCGAAACGCTAAAAGCCAAATTGGTGGGCTGTTGGATCATTGGTCATTTGCAGGAACCCTAGCTTGGATTTGTGCCCGACTTTAGCTCGAGGCTTAGTTTAGGACACATTGCACACACACGGCTTTCTCTTGGGCTACCTGACAATGAGACCCCTTTATTTCGTGTAATCCTGTGTAAATTACATGTACCCCTCTCCCATTCCGATGTATGTTTCGTATTTCTTTGATTATATGTTTATCTTCTAGGAGCAGCCATAGGGACTAGCGTAGATCAAACTATTTTCAAACTAATTCTCGATTCGTCATCGAGCCATTTTCAAACACCCCTCCGTAAGTCGAGTGCTCGTCCGCATTCGCCATCAATCTATTGCACACACTTCACTGTGGTTTCGATATTGGGGGCACCCTCAGGGACTAGTATCATTTCTCACAACTTGACCCTTGATGCGTAAGTCAAGCCGGTTATGTTTTCATTCCAAACCTTCGACTCGTCGTCGAGCCATTTCTCAAACCATTCCTCAAACCACTTCCATCCTAACATGTTTTGCACGCGAAAATAGGTCAAACCCTTGATCCAACATCAAGCGAATTTTCATAACAAACTATCAATCAATTAACAACTATTTAAACTCTTTTCAAGGTGTAAAGAGTGAGATCAAGTCTTTAATCTCGCTTTTGGTTATTTGGATGTGAGTTATCTTATTCGTGTGTGGACAATTGACGCCTTTAAATAACATTAACAATTCGACAACGTTCAACCATCGTCCAACTACTCATCCTTTCAGGTGAAGAATGGAAATCATACTTCAACAGTAATGGTTATATATCCTAAGAAGAGACATACATACCCTTTTGCAATCCACAAAAAAGCTTCAGATATATACCATAGTAAGACGACGGTATGGTCTATAGAGATCTCGATACTGAAGGATGCCCTGCTCTTCCTAATTCATTAGAAGCTGATATTGTGATGAAAAATAACTTTGACTACAGCTCGGATGATCCTTTGGACGATTTACCCATTTGGGAGCCTAACATGGGAGATCTAGGGTATAAAAGCCAGCCAGAAAATGCATATCTTCTGAATAGCCCTAAAAAAGATTCATCTGTTCCTCTGGAAGATGGAGACCTTATCTGAAAAATCCTAAATATGTCAATCATTATCTTGATGAAGTTGCAAGAATTACTGGACAAGAGTTTATCAACTTTGCACTACCGGAAATCAATGCCATTGAAGAAAATGATTCATCAGTTTCCTTAAAAAACTGGGATACCTTGGGACAGCCAAGCGACAAGTTTGATATCCCAGTAAAGTATACTCCCACTGAAAGCTCTCGCATCTTGTATGAAGACATCCAACCAACTGGATAGGGAGATTCTCCTGTACACGATAATACTTACGCAAAAACAGTAGAAGATCTCTTTTCTAATAACTCTGCATGGGACGAAGACTCTATTGACCCAGCTCCACCAGAAGTTAGCACCATTGTTGAAGATAATCCCAAGAGAGATGTGTAGCGGGAAAATTTGTGAGTGTAAGCTATTGATTAACTTAACTCAAAATGTAAGAGTTGCAACCACACTTTTATTTTATCCTAAAGGAAAGGAAAAAGAGCGAACAAAACCTAACCGTTCTAAAATAAGAATAAATAAACAGAGATTTGGGTAAGGGGGTTGGTTACCCAATGGGAAGGTATTAGCACCCAAAATGTCTATAGTACTCTATAGGAGCCCTTTGAAATATCTACGCTTTTTGGTTTGAAAAATGTTTGTTTGAAATGAGATTGGGGAGATGGGAAGAGAATTATTTTTTAAGATTTTTGTGTTTGGAGAGACTTATCGCCTCATGCCTACATGCCCACAAAGTGCAATATAGGATCAAAACCCCATAGTTCATGGTACAAATAACAAAAATTTGTTTGTTTTGATTGATTTTAAATGTAAAGACAAGTCATTATTTTAAGGAGAAAACTATGACTAGTCGCCCACAAGTATAAGACAACATTCACATCACCTAAAGATGGAGGATTTTGCTTGGATTAAAATCTACAAGTCTATCACTCAACATCTAAGTGGAAAATGCCAAAATCTTAAATAATATGAGTGTCATACCCCAAATTTGTCCTACTTGTGTGTAGATTTCACTTTAGTATATCTGTCCACTAACAATTATCCAAAAACCCAAAAAAATATGTCGCTACTTTCATTTTTCCATGTTGTCCAAATCCAAGTTGTTACAAGGAAGAGCTGAGGTTTCAATTAGGGTATTATTCAAGTCATCTGTGTGTAGGTCAAAGTTGTAGACTGATGTCTCATGATGGAGAATCATTTGGAATTTGTGCTAGAGATTTTGATACAATTGTAA